GGGGTATTTTTTTGGTTGCAGCCGTCATTGTCGTTTGGTGGGCCCGGGCTGGATTCGAACCCGCTATCTTAGGTGGACGTGGCTGGCGCCTTAGCCACTTGAGCCACAGGCGCCGAGCTGCCTTGTCAAGTTTTTAAAGTGTCTGTCAATTGAACTTTGTAGTGGCAGCTTTTATTTTTTTTTGCTAGTTCTCATTAAGTTTTCTGTACTAAATGTTCAAGAATGTCTTAAAATATGGTGAGAAGTCATTCTAGTAATAACAGTACACTACCAAATTGTCTCATTGCTTCTTTGTTACATTTCGGTACATTTTACATTTGTATAAAAAGTTAAAATAGTAATTGGGTATTTGGAATCTGAAAGTTTTAAGTGTATTTTGGTAATACTGTTATTTGGATTTGAATGGCACAAGGATGAGAACCACCTGTTCTGGGTGTAACTGAAATCTGTTCCTTATGTTTTTAGAGGCTTCGTGAGGGAGTGATCAGAGACATTGAGAGGCAAAACCGGAAAAAAGAAAACATTCGTCTTTTGGAAGAGCAGATTATTTTGACTGGGCAACTAGAAGCAGAAAGAGAGAAGATGTTATTGGCAAAAGGTTCTCAAGAAACATGACTTGAATGTGGAGGATCAGTGGGACAAACAACACTGGGTGTGTGTGTTGATGGAGAATAGCTTAGTGATGTCCTAATCTTTTTTATGTCATTGTCCTTTAAAATGATCAAATAAAGGACAGTTGATGATACATTCTAAAGTATGATCTTTTTATGTCCCTGACATCTGAATAAAGATGTGTGGGCAGATGCTCTTCTGAGGAGCTTCTGTCTGTGAGAGCCTGGTAGAAGCCCCTTTAAGTTTAGTGTCCAGAGCGAATTAGGATTTTTGAAAAGCACTTCTGAACCTGTGAGAAGGCAGGGATGGAGAGTAACATCCACCTGAGTAGTTTGATAAGTCGACATGACGATGAAGCCACGAGAACATCTACCTCGGAAGGGCTGGAGGAGGGTGAAGTGGAGGGAGAGACGCTCCTGATTGTTGAATCGGAGGATCAGGCATCAGTGGACTTATCTCATGACCAGAGTGGGGATTCCCTGAACAGCGATGAAGGAGATGTGTCGTGGATGGAGGACCAGCTGTCTTACTTCTGTGACAAGTGCCAAAAATGGATACCAACCAGTAAGGAGCTTCCCAGTTCCTTTTATTTGTCAATTCCTGTGTGAAGGTTTGTTTTTCAAACCTGTGAAAGAAACTTGAATGTAAAGTAGACTTAAATATTTATTATTTAGTTGATCAACTATAAATTTGTACAAAACAGAGACACATTGTACTAATAAAAATGTCAACCTCTATCATATTGTTAAATTAACATTTAAAAAATATTTTTAAAATTTCAGATTAATACGATACATGATTACATTATTCTGTTTGCATTTGTAGAGTCTGAGTCGTAGTTGTTTCCTTCAGTCAGGAAATGTGCCGTATGCTGGTGCATTGTTCCCCTTGGGTGGGAAACTGCTGCACTCTCTCCCCGTCCCTAAATTAACATTCTTGATAGTAACCCAGTAAAAATAGGAAAATTGGAAATCTTGGGTTAGCCACATTTTTTCTAATACAATTGCATTATAGATTTGGGGCCATATTAATGTAGAATTAATGTTCAAGTTCATAAAAATGACTCTGTTAATATTTAACTTACATGGAGTGAGATCAGAATTAGCAAATTGAAGGTGTTTGTGCTTTTCCAGGAGCTGTAAGGGAAATGTACATACAGGCATCCTGGTCACCTTACTCTTGATATTTTCAGCTGATAGCTTTCTGGCTCTTGAGGAGCATGGCTTTCCAGCCGTTATAGGATTCATACTGAAGCAGGGATTTTTCCATTAGGCAAGAGATTAGAAAAGACATAAGTATCTGAGGAATGCTTTGTGTAATAGATTTTGTAACTAAGAGAAATTTATGGTATTGTGACATAGGTCATTTTCTGATATGTGGAAATCTTGGTTCACCTATTCAAATTAATAATAACATTTTCACAGAGGACAAAAACCTAGAATTTACTGCTTATTAGCTGGTTTTGCTTCTGAGCTCTTTCTGCTTGTTAGTTCTGGGTTCTGCCTGAACATCTCGTGTCTTTTCCTTTGTCCTAGCAGGATAAATGACAGACTGACAGACCTACCTTTGTGGTCAGGCCCTGCTAACTTAGCCTCTTCTGTCCCCATACAGACAACTTTGCAGTTTCGGTAAACTTTATTCTCCCCAAGTAATTCTTATCCTTAATGCTATAGCACATTTTTGTTTCCTCGCTGGAATGTGCATCTCTATAGTTTCCATGCCCTCCCCCATATCCACAGGCACCCCCTCTTCACTTGGCCGATTTCGAATCTGGCCCCCATCTTCCTAGTATAGATTGGGCACCCCTTTGATGTGACCCCATGCTGCCCTGTGGTACACATCTTATTCCTGTGGTTTTCATGCATCCTGGAGCATCAGCATCGCCTGGGCAACTTTAAAAAAATGCAGAGGCCTAGGCCTCGCTTAGCAGATTGATTTCATCTAGTGTCCTTGGCTGATTCTGATGCAAAGTGAGGATGAGGAGTCTCTGTGCTGTTGTGATTACCTACTTTCTCCTAAGACTGTGAGAGCAGGCACCATATCTATCTTGAAATAGACATTTGTTTGATAAATACTTATGTTTACTGGTGGTGCCTGTAGCTCAAGCAGCTAAGGTGCCAGCCATGAACACCAGAACAGGCGCGTTTGAATCCGACTGGGGCCTGCCAAACACTGACAACTACAACAAAAAAAAAAGCCAGGTTTTGTGGTTGTGCCTGTAGTCCCAGCTACTCGGGAGGCTGAGGCAAGAGAATCGCTTGAGCCCAGGAGTTTGAGGTTGCTGTGAGCTGTGACTCCATAGCATTCTACCAGGGCAACAGCTTGAGGCTCTGTCTCAAAAAAAAAAAAAAAGACAGTAAGTTGTATTCCTCTTTCTAGCCTAGCCTGTGGCAGGTGGTGGACATATTTGAAAGAACTTGTGAAGAGACCTGCTTGTGGGAGTCAGGAATGTGACAGTTGGAAAAGCCAGTTTAGAGCAATAGTACCTGCTTTTCTGGTACCTTCCTCCTAAAAGTTAAGAAACCATAGATGCTAGTGAGTGTGCACTTGGTGCTAGGAGGCCAAAAATCTTTCTCTACTCCCACACCACAGGCCAGCTCTGTGGGTTGGCTGAAAAAAAAAAAAAACCCATGGGAAACTTGGAAAATTTGGAAAATGTTGTTGATAAACTATTTAAATCTTTGGGTTACGTCTGCTTTGGATACCTATGATGTGACTTTTTGTTTTTCTTCTAGGTCAGCTGAGGGAACAGCTCAGTTACCTTAAGGGTGATAATTTTTTTAGATTTACTTGTTCTGATTGCTCAGCAGATGGCAAGGAACAGTATGAAAGGCTGAAGCTCACGTGGCAACAAGTGAGTAAAATGCCCTCCCTGGGATTCAGGAGGGGGGTCCTCCAAAGGATTTGTTGGGATGACTATCTAGAGTGAGAAACTTCAGAGCTTTTGTGTTGTTTTGGGGGCACTTTTTATTTAACAATGAAAATTAGATACCAAATACATGGAGAAAAAAGAGTTTTTGTTAAAATTACTAACTCAGTGAAATGGGTTTGAGATTCTTGAAAATCTCACATTTCATTTATATGTAATACCAAGGTCTTATGGTAATTAAAAATGAAGTTCACATTTTTCTGGCAGCCATTTTTAGAACAGTAAAACAATTTTTAAAAATGTAAAGATGGTAACATTGAAAACAGATTTGGAAGAAGCCTTGTGACTGATTGCAAACTAACAAAACCCATCTCTTCTAGGTTTGATCTCAGAGATGTTTGAATACTTTTTGTTTGATAAATACTTATATTTACTTTTAACCATCTCTAATATCAATACCCTAATCTAAACCAATAAACTGTAGCCTAAGCAGTAGCTTTTTACTCACCTGCAGCTTGTATTAAGATTTTTTGGTTTTGTTTCTATATTAACATATATAAGAATGTATAATATGTGTAGTGAGGCATCAATATGTGTGTACTTTTTAAGCTCAAAAACAAATGAATTGTATATCGCCTAGTTTTTATGTTCATACACTGAATAAATACTGAGTGCCTGTAGTGAACTAGGTGCTATCCTAGGCCTGGGGACTACTATGGTGAAGGAGACAGTGCAGGCCCCTGCCCTAAGGCAGCTGACAGCCAATATTTATTTTAGATAATAAAGAGGTAAATAGGATGATTATCCACAGCACTTTTTGCTTTGAAGGAAATAGGGCAGAGTTTTTCAGAGACAGAGTCTCATTTTATTGCCTTCAGTAGAGTTCTGTAGTGTCACAGCTCACAGCAACCTCCAGCTCTTGGGCTTAGGCGATTCTCTTGCCTCAGCCTCCTGAGTAGCTGGGACTACAGGCGCCCACCACAACGCCTGACTACTTTTTTTGTTGCAGTTTGGCCGGAGCTGGCCTTGAACCCACGACCCTCAGTATATGGGGCTGGTGCCCTACCCACTGAGAGAAAAGTTTTGATCATACCATAGGAGCTAGTCACAGTGCTCCTTGTCAGCTGACGTTGCTTTAGCAGCCTCAGGCTATTATCTTGATTAATCATCACCGCTTCATTGGGACATCTGTTGAACTTTGTCAGTGGTAAATTTAGGAGACCTTTTTCACTTGCCTGAAATTATGTAAGTAGACAGTGAAGGGAAGTTTATATTGAGGGCACAGTCTTATAAATGTTATAATTGGGGATATTTATCTCCAAACATAATAATAATGTAATAATAATATAATTGGAGCACCTGGGATGCTTTGTCTGGGCAAAGTCATATTAATAGATTGTTGTCATACGTGCACACTGGCAGATTTGTATTTGGCCTCAAGTAGTTTCTCATAAAATCTATAAAATGGAAGAAGAGCAAGTATGTGTAAGTTGTTTTTTTCAAGAATTTGAGTTTTCTGGTTGGGCACTGTGGCTCATGCCTGTAATCCTAGCACTCTGGGAAGCTGAGGTGAGTGGATCACTTGAGCTCAGGAGTTTGTGACCAGCCTGAACAAGAGTGAGAGACCCCGGTCTCTACCAAAAATAGAAAAAGTTAGCCAGGTGTGGTGTTGTCCCAACTACTCTGGAGGTTGAGGCAGAAGGATTGCTTGAGCTGAAGAGTTGAAGGTTGCAGTGAGCTGTGATGACACTACTGTACTTTTAACCAGGATGACGGAGTGAGGAAAAAGAATTTGAGTGTTCTGTAGCAGTTCTTTTTAAAGTAAAAGTTGGTTTTTGCCTATATTGCTCAGTGTATGTATTAGTTCAATTTGCATATTTAATTTAGACTAACATAACTTGTGAATTATTTTGTCACTTCCCAAAGACATACTGATGGTAAATAGTAACCCAGGATGAAGTGATAACTTAGATGACACACATCTGGTTCTTGGCAAACTACTGCTCAGGGTTTCTAGTTGCATTTGAAAAAGCCCATCACTCATTGAAGACCTGAAAAGGAATCAATTGGTCTTAAGTAGACTCCTTGGATGCTTCCAAATACTTACTGTATTGGAATGTGGGTTTTCTGTCTTTTAAACTTTGTATTTGTTTATTTTTTAATTGTTCAAGAACAAGCTCTTTGAATTCAGAAAAACTTTATTTATTGACTTATTGAAGTAATAAGTAGAAATGTTTGCAACACAAAATAATATCTTAATTGTATTATAAAATACTATTATAAAATACTGACGGTAAAAAGGTCCGGTCTCCTGACTGAAAGGCCCCTTTCTGTGTCCTCTTTGTCCTTGGTGATCCTTGCGAGTATGTTTGATGTGTAAGAGAAGCTTTATTAAATGTTTGGGAAGAGGCTGTGTGTGTGTCTCACGCCTGCAGTCCCACCAGTTGGGGAGACTTAGGCAGGCAGGAGGATTGCTTGAGACTTGTCTGGGTCATAGAGCAAAACACTTTCTAAAAAAGCAAAAACATTGGGAAGAATAGGGAGATATTACATTTTTTTCCAGGGGACTTATTCTCACAAGGAAAGATAGCATGGTCTGTGCTCACTGTTTTTCTAGGTGTTCTTCAGTAGACACTGAGTGCCTGCCAGCCGGAAGCCAGGCCCTGGGTATACATTGGTCTACAAGGCTGGCTGCATTACTGAGGTGCTTGGTCTTGTATCTCGAGAGCAGAAAACTAAATTGGAATTCATTCTTTTAGATATAGATTCCTGGAAAGGAGGAAAAACAAGTGCATTATATACTAGTATATTGTTTGCCCAGTAAATATTAAGTGATAAAAGTTATTTTCAAGTAAGTATGTGAATTTTAACTTAAAACTTAAGTTATGAAATACATATACAGGAAAGTACTGGAAATAAAATAATAGACATTTAAATACCTACCACTGAGATAATCAGTGAGTACCTGTTTGTGAGGTACTCTTGGAGTTTGAGCCTGGGCCAAGCTCTGTCTTAATTTTCTTAAACTATTAATTGAATAGTAACTTTTTTCCAAAATGTGATGAAATGCGCCTAACATAATGTACCATTTTTCAGTGGATAGTTCAGTGCCATTAAATATATTCACACGCTGTTGTTAACCATCCCCACTGTCCATCTTGGAACATTGTTATCTTTGCACAATGAAACTACTGATTACACACTAACTCCCCAGAGTATTAACTGTTTAAGAAAGATATTTGTTGGCTGGTGTAGACCTGATATGAAAATAAGTGAAAGACATTTGAAAAATCTGTTTGGGGGTTAATTGTGTGGTAGACTGTAAATATTGTAAGTTTTAGGATGGGGGAATTGAAGCTTGGCTAGTGAAGAAACACGATAACTACCGGCCTGTCTGTGTGGCACAGTTATAGTCTTCCATAGGACCATTGGGAATGCAGTGCTGTGAACACAGGTGCCGGGGCATTAACTGCAGTTTACTCACTGCCCAGCAGCTATAGGGTGCTCCTTACAGAAATAAGGATTATTTAAGCATTTTTTTCGGGATTCTCTATCCCCTTTTCAATTTCATTGGCCCCAAAATAAGTCATGATTTTTATTAGGTTGAAAACATGGTTTTGAATAGCTTCTATAGTTTTGTCCGTTTACATAAAACTACATACCTACCCAATGGAAAAGGATATTTGCATATTTTGAATCTGACAGAAGCTTAATAACTAGGATCTGTAGAGAACTTAATGCACATGAAAAAAGCCAACAATCCCTTACATCAGTGGGGAAGAGAGATGAACAGAACCTTCCCCAAAGAAGATAGACTAGCAAACATATGAGAAAATGCTCATCATCCCTAATTATTAGAGAAATGCAAATTAAAACCAGCCTGAGATACCATCTAACCCCAGCGAGAATGGCCTATATCACAAAATCTCAAAATTGCAGATACTGGTGTGGATGTGGAGAGAAAGGAACACTTTTATATTGCTGATGGGACTGTAAACTAATACAACCTTTTTGGAAGGAAGTATGGAGAAACCTCAAGGAACTCAACCTAGACCTCCTGTTTGATCCTGCAGTCCCATTACTGGGTATCCAGAAGGAAAAAAACCTTTTATTATAAAGACACTTGTACCAGACTGTTTATCGCAGCTCAATTTACAATTGCTAAAATGTGGAAATAACCTAAATGCCCCTCAACCCAGGAATGGATTGGCAGGCTGTGGTATATGTATACCATGGAATAAAAAATGGAGATTTTGCAGCATTTGTATTAACCTGGATGGACGTGGAACACATTATTCTTAGTGAAGCATCACAGGAATGGAGATGCACGAATCCTGTGTATTCAACTTTGATATGAGGACAATTAATGACAGTTAATGATGTGGTGGGGGTAGGGGAAGGGGAGAACAGAGGAGGAGGGAGGGATGAGGGAAAGAAAAAAAAAGAAAATAGTGACTAATTTTTCACATAAATTGGATTTAATTTTGACCAAAGTATGTTATTTGAACAATAATTTTTAATTCAGCTTGTTAATATGTTGTTAATATGTGGCATCCTCACTTATAAGTGAAATATGTTTGTAATTTCCATTTATAATAATATATTTTTTCCAATTTTAATATCAGGTATATCCAGATGAAGTAGAATGATTTTGAAGTATTTCTTCTTTTTCTATTATCTATAAGATTTAGCATGACCTGTTTTTTGAAATTATCTTCTGTTTTTATTTATAAAAATATTGTCTATTTTTTGAGACTTAAAAAAAAAAGTTAACTGATGACTCCATACTGAACCTCAGAGTCAAAGCATTCTATGATAGGCATACTTTTATCTGACAATGTGAATGTTACTTTCCTTGCATTATTATTATTATTGCTCAGTATTTTGGTGCAGCAATCATCTGATTACTTCTCCGATTGTATTTATCTTCATTCTTTATGAGGTTTTTGTTTCTAGTCCTTATCTTAAACATTGTTATTGTTACTAAATTTTAAGCCTCTTTAATTTTGTGAAGGCAAAATAGTGGAAATCAAATAAACACATGTACATGTATAGAGAATAAAAAA